CCTGCTAACGTGGACCCAGGGGTGAAACCGGTATTCCGTACCCTCGACCTGGCGGTATCGGAAATCGCTACCTTTTTCCCGGATCCTGAACGGGCCGTGCCAGAGATGTGCGAGCTGAGTCCGGGGCGGACTCGGGCTAGGTACCGCCATACTGAGTCCCCGACCTCCAAGCCTTCTTTCAGTCGGTCTGTAAGTTGTTTCCACTTGCGGTTGTGATCCTCGGCCCGGCGCTTCTTGGCCTTTTCTTGGAGGTCCCGGGCCCAGGCCCTCGCGTATTCCACCTGGCGTTGTACCTTGGTGCGCCATTCTTGGGCGTCCCGGAGCTGCACGTCTCGGGGGACGTCTCCCATCATGGCTTCGACGGTACCTTGGGCATCCCAACCGTGCACCAGGTAGAACGGCGTGTCGAGTCGGGTGAAGTCGAAGGAGGTGTTCAGCGCCCACATGAGCTTTTCGGCTAGCTCGTCCCAGTCGCTTTGGTCCACAGTCTGCACGTACGCCTTAACGCTCCGGATCACCGTTTGCACATACCTCTCTTGTTGTCCGTTGGCTTGGGGATGTGTTCGAATCCGTTCAGGGCACGCTATACACCTTTGGGCGGTCAAGTGTTCACCCACTTCGTCACATGGATCTCGGTCGTGACGGATCATCTCACTGGCCCCGAACCTCCGGAACACGCACTCCTCATAGGCTTCGGACACGTCTTGGGCTTCGGTGCTCGCCATGGCCTTGCACATGATGAACCCCGAGAACGCGCACTGAAACAGGAGCAATGCCGTATTTCCCCGGGCGGACCGGGGCAGCGGTATCACGAAGTCCATGGAAACGACCTGAAACGGTCGCGTAGCCAACAGGTTACCGGGCGACGGTCCCGGGTTCCGGGGTAGTCCGTTGGCCGTGACGCAGTCAACGCATTCTTTGACATATCGCTCGGTGTCCTTGAACATGCCGATCCAGTAGAACTCCCTGCGCAGCCTCTCATAGGTCCGGATCATCCCCTGATGAGCGCCTTAGAAGTCCGCGTGACAGTGGTGCAGGATGTCCTCCTGGAGGTCCTGGGGGACTACCAGGCGGAGGCGGTCTGCGGCGTCTCGGGGACGTTCCGGGGTGCTCCGACTCACATAGAACAGGGCGTCCCGGGAGTCCAATACAAACTGGTCCGCTATCTTGGCCAAGTGTGTCGTTTGTTTCAGGGACAAGTGCTCAGTCTCGTCCCGGAGGAACAGTACCAAAGGCGCTAGCCCCGGGTCGTGTGCCTGGTGAGAGCAAATCCTTCTCCATCGTTCTCTGCGGACATCTTCGGGGTCTTCTTCGGAGTCTTGGCAGTCTGGGCTCCGGGAAGCGGCTGTCGGCTCGGCCTC